CCCCATGATTCACAAGGAGACGATTGAAGGGGGAAACATGGGATTTCTGGCTAAACCTGTCATCTCCCCTTGGTCTACCATTATCCCTCCTTGGAAAAGGGCAAAGTCAGCTCGGCTATGTAAGGCCAAAGCCTTGGCCCTACTGCGGCCACGCAAAACAACTCGGGAACCATAATTTGGGATCTCGAAGTTAGCAAACAACATCATCACTTTCATTCAACAGAACCAAGGAGGAAGACATCATTTACAAACAAGGAGAAAACAACGACATTCTAATAAGAAGCCGTACCAAAAGTTACATCAAATTCACAAAGATAAAATACTACAAAGGTCCTTGTCGAATCACCAAAAATGAAAAGAGAGAAGCAACCATGGGTCCACCTCAGGTAGCTGCCTCACCACTGTCGCCGATTCCCTTGTCAGTTTTTTTGGCTGTGACATCGGACTTCTCGAAAACGGAAGCCCCCTTAGCACCTGACACCACAACCTCTTCAGCAGTCGCGGACCCCTTCTTGTACTCAAGTTGCGACACAAAGGAATGCAGGTCGAGGTCAGGATGAGCATCCTCGATCTGGTCCCTGCAGTTCAGGAACCCTTTCACAAAGGCAGAGGCGCCTTCCCTCAACAGCTCAGACACCCGGACTCGCAAAGATGACAGCTCAGAATCCTTGGCCTTCAGATCTCTAACCTTGGCTTTGATTTCATCATCCTTGGCCGCGAGGCCTGCATCTTTAGCCTTGAGCTTAGCCTCCAAACCCCCGATCTACGACTCTTTAAGCGTGATATGGTCCTGATGGCGGGAGTCCAGCTCATCGTTGATCCTCTTCAATTCGGCGACCTCGAAAACTAGAACCTGCAGCTTCCCCTCGACAGCCTCCTTGCTGACCGTCATGACATCGAGAACGTCCTTGGCCTTCTGAAGATCCCGCTCATGATAGATGTCCAACATCTTCACGAAGGCGAGCGACTATAAAAGAAAAAGGAGATCGGTCAACGCAGGAAGAAGGAAAAGAATTCGAGAACGATTGAGTAAATAAACGGAATAAGAAGGTACCTCGGCCAGGCCTTGGATGGTATGCTGGATCTTCTTCTTAAGGGAACCTCCATCGTCGACTGACGATCTGATATGGAGATCAACTCTGATAGAACAGCCACTACGGCTTCGAGATCGCAAAGGAAGCCGCCCCTACGCACCTTAGATTTAGAATGGAAAACCCCCTCTTTCTCGCCCATCGGAGGAACCGTCTCAGGTGAGGCAGAATGGGGGGCCGAAAAGCCGAGCTTGTCTGCTAAAACCCCCTCCGAACTGGTGTCACCCTTGGAAAATGTAGAAGAATGCGAGGGCACGATAGCATCCCCTCGAGGAGGAACGACTTCACTCTTCTTTTCTAAAGAAGTAGATATGGGCCCAGTGGCCGACGCCTCCTTGGGTGGCAGCTGGCCTCCCTTCGTCAATCTCCTCCTCTTTCTCGATTGCTCGGTATCTGAGAACACCGTCATAATCAGATCTTGGTCCATACTACCCGACTGAAAGGCAGAAGGTGGTGCAACCTCTAAAGCTTGGATAATGGGCAGTCCTAGTCCGTGTTTGGCTAGGTTTACATCAGTCACTAAGTCAAAGAAATCCTCAACCTGAAGGCTTCAATTCTAGCAATTTGGGCCGCCTCCTCCGTGTCGAGTACCGGGTAGAATTCTGCAAATCAGATCAAAGGTTAGAAACAAAAAAAAAGGGGGGAGAGAAAAGAAGATAACAAAAAGGAACACGGTCGGAAGATTAGTCTTACGAGTGTTCCTTGGGACCCCCCAAGACCTTGAAAACCGAGGGACGTCGCCGAGCTCCCCTGACAACTCCCAAGAATCGCCTATAGCGAAAAAGAACCTCAATTTCCACCCCTTATTGGAAGACGGAAGCCCGAAAATCAGAGTCTTCACCTTTAGCCGTTTAGCAAAATATAAAAACCTGAAGAGGGAGAAGACTTCAAATGAAAAAGGAAGGCAAATTCTCGTATAGAGGGAAGGGGAAGGTTCCCACTCTCAAACCAATGGACAAGGAAACCAACCAGGAGGCCCCAACCGTTGGGAGATAGTTGGGCCAGACAGACATCGTAGAATCCGAGAACATTCTGGATAAAAGGATGGATAGGAAATCGAAGACCAGCCCGGAATGCAGACTCGAAGAAACAAGTGAATCCAGGAAGAATAGAATTACACCTCTCATGCCCCCTTTGGAGAATGTAATTCCACAAAATCAGGAAAGCGATACTCACACCTCAATTCCTCCAAATCCTCGTCACCAAGGCAGCTGGAGGTCCCCTCCGCACAACAGGTCAAGTCAGATGGCTCGCGACGAATTCATTTTTTTGGAATGGGGGGGAGGGGGCCTGCCCAAATTTCCTCTTCTTCGATTGAACCGGGGAACCAGGAGGAAGGGCATAAAGAGGTACTGCCCCTGCTGAAGGCACCGGGGATGAAGCTCTGGGAGTGGACTCAGGGGCTCCGCCGCCGACGAAAAGAGAACGCCCGCTGGAGGAAGCCGTGGTGGTCTCCTCGACCTCCCCACTAACGGATTCCAATTCGAAAGAGGAAGAAACAACAAATTTTCCCATCAAAAGGTCGGATCTCACGTTAGAATGAAGGGAAGGGAAATGCAAGGCACAATCCGCCAAGAATAAAGGTTTCAGACACCAGGCCCTAAGTGAGGATACCCTCGCCACTGAAAAATGGTCTACGAATCGCGAAAGGAAAGTAAGATCGTCGGAGTGTTCTCTAAAATAACTAAATCTCCAGATCAGAAAGCGGAACCCAAAACCCCACCAGGGAGGGTTAAATGGATCCAGATCGAAATAGCAAGGAGAAAGGAAGAATGACGTATCTAGTGAAACGCTAGAAGAAGAGGAGAACCAGAGACGATGATGTTGTAAGTCGCCCTAGAGTCCGAGTCAAAACACTTTGAATGCACAGAAAGGGAAGGGAGCACAAAAGAGAATGGAACTTGGAACCACAGAGCAAAAAGCCAAAAGACCTTCCCCCCCCCTCTCTTTTTGAGGGACGTATATGTATGTGTGGAGCATTAAATTCATGACAGGCAAACGACAGGACACGCCTCAAAAGCCGTATCCACAAGCTCACTCGATGGTGACACGTGTACATTACCATCCCATCATTGCCGGCAAACAGAGGCATGACCCAATCCTGATTAGAACCAATAGCCCGACACAGTTATTACTCTGAAAGCCCAGAACACGCCCAATAAAGTCATTTTTAACCCTAGGCCAAGAATGATAACATCTCCATGACCTGGGTCGAGGGGCAACTGATATGGACGAAAATTCACGGGCAGGGCCTTGGTGGCCCAGAAGCCTGACCAGCCGAAGAGGCCCGGAGAAGAGAAGCGGGACCTGGTATCGGCAAAAAGCCTATAGCCCAACAGTCCAGGCCCAGCCCAAACCATAAAGCGGTTTGGAGAGTAAAAACTCAGTCCAAGCTATTTCTAGATGGGCAGAGGGGACCACGCATCTAGGGGGACCACCCCTGACACCTACGGCAATCTCAGAAAAGGTGGAGCACCAAGACGCCAGAGATCATGACAACGGCAACGCCGAATGAATAGGGACGCCGAATGAACAGTGATCGTGGTGGCAGAAGAAGCAGGAGGGGGTTAGAGGAAAAGACAGTTGGAGTCCCTAAGAGGAGCTAGTATAAATAGATAACGATAACCCAGGCAAAAAGAGACTCGATCAACCCTGAAAAAGATCAGGGAACATTTGAGAGCAAAAGAGTGTAGAAAGTTGAGAGTGAATACCTAGATAATCATTCTTTGTAAGTGGACCCCGAGTCCCAAGTTACTGGAGGCACTTTGCCGGCCAATGAATATACAATCTCAACAAGCAAGAGACTCCGCTAATAGTGGATGTAACCTTAGTCCTTTGGCTAAGGTGAACCACTTATATTCCCTGTCTAACTGTTCATAAAAGTTTAATCCATCATCTGCAAAACTATTTTCATAACACCATCCAACCTTAGTTGGGCTTGACCCACAAATTCCGACTACCATTAGTAATGAATACCAAGGCTTGAAATTTCATTTCAACATTTAATGACTTGCACTCTTACTCATGCGTAATGAGTGTTTTCCACCCAGATCTGTAAGCCTAGTTTACTCGAGCGATAGGGTGACTGCTCGAGACATACCGAGAACATATGGCTCTATCCCTAGTCATTCAAGTCTTCTGACCAGCGCTTTGACATCTAATCCCTAGCGTTCAATATTCGGAAGAATAGTACCCCGAAAAGCGCAAAAGAGATATATTCGACGCAATAGCCATTAATGTTTCGTAATTATGACTACTACTTTGGGTCTCAAAGACACAAGGGCTCATTAATAGCCCTATCTTAGTCACTCACATTTCCATAAATGAACTATCAAGTTGCCTTAAATGCTGGTGTCAGTCTGTGTACTCTGCTCCTCTGAGCCATTACTCCTCGACGCAAGTTCTTGCCACCTTTTGAGTTCTGTAACGCCTACACCTTTACACGTGTCAATCTGTAAACCGCTGAGCCGTCTAAAATCCCATCAATAAAAATAAAAACACACTCTCACTCTCACTCTGGTCCTTTTTATAGTTGAAAAATACTCAACTCAACAAAGTCTTACTTCAACATTTTTTAAGTCGGTTACATATATTATACTTCCACACTGAGCCCTATAAGGGTCAACTTTGAGATTGAAAATTGTTATTTTGACCTAATTTGTTAATTTAATGTATCAAAGTCTTTGAATTGATAACGGATGCCAACTAATACTATGACTTACTGTTTATCTAATGAGAGTAATTCATTAGGTCGACAAATTAAATAAATAAATAAAGTTCAAATAACATGTCTCATTAAAAACTTATAGTTAGTAGACACGCTTTCTCAACCTCCTGCTTCACAAACATAGCCACCAAAAACTTCACAATTGCTTCTCAGCCTCCTGTTTATCTCACCCATCCCTCTGATCAATCTGGTTTCTTCAAATTCAAGCAGTTATCAGCTGCTTGGCTGAACAGCTCTTGGACCTGTTTTAGTTCCTTTTCTGGTGCCAACAATAACTTTGCATGATTAGTTACAGCAAAGGCAAACGAATTGAAAGGAAAAATTACATGAGAGAGAGAGAGAGAGAGGACAATCAATAACAGCTGATCAACTAGCTGTTTCAGACAATAGTCAGAGAGTTTAGAAACTGTTATAGTTCACAGATGATTTCTTCATTATGGTCTAAGAAAATGACATTTTTTTCCAACTCCATTTTCTTATCAGCAGACCAACTCCCCAAGGTCAGCACAATTACTCGTGTATGAAAATGCAGATGTAACAACCATGGTCCAAGAATACATTATGTTCATAAGGGAAAAATGATATTAGCTAGCGTTGTTTGGATATATTAGGAAAGTAAATTCCTTTCTACTGTGAAGTTCACTCTAGGCTTGCACTCTAAAGGAGGGCAGGAACCCACACTGCTGACTATGTGAGTATGAGACTATGAGTGAATCAAATATAACCAAACGAGGACAAATTTGAAGACTTCACCTGCAGCCTCCAGTTGCTTCTGAAGTTCTTGGCCTACCAAATCATTTTCAGCCTGCACCATATGTCAACAAATAGCAAGGCTATTAGAGGAGCAGGAGGAGGATTACTAAGCCAATTAAAATGGAAGGCAATGTATCCGCCCATCCATTGCCTGAAGAAATCACACACACACACACACACACACACACACAGAAGTAATGCCTGAAGTTCTGCAATTCTTTTTAGTTGAGCTTCTTNTTAAGCCAATTAAAATGGAAGGCAATGTATCCGCCCATCCATTGCCTGAAGAAATCACACACACACAGAAGTAATGCCTGAAGTTCTGCAATTCTTTTTAGTTGAGCTTCTTCACCTCCCTCGGACAACGGAAGTGCAGCAACCAATGCATCAAACTGCATAATGAATAACACCTGGTATCTGAGAATCTCATATATGGTTGATTAGGATGAAGATCACATTGACAGAAAACCAATGTGCCAGCTTGCATAGCTAGTAAAGTCTCAAAGTAATCGTCCTATTGACCTTGGATCACCTTATGCCTTATGAAGATTAAAACGAAAATGAGTGAAAGCTACCCATCAGAAAGCCTGTCATCGTCTTTGGACCAACAAGAGAAATAAAAAGGATCAAAATTGAGACAAGAAAGATGGAAACATATAATGGGAAGTCAACTTCCTCATATTTCAACATCAAGCTTGGTACCAGCAAGTCCACATATTCTGCTGGTCCATCCAAAAACTGTTGTATGATGGGTCTTTCATTAATTACAATTGAAACCTACTTTTTGTTTATCAAGTCTTAACATCTCTGCACCGACGCTAATCAATATGGACTCACTTCACATATCTTTTATGGCAACAATTCTAATCAAAATAACAGGGGAGTCTTTACTTACTTTGTCAAAACAACAGGGAGTTAGGGATTCACTTATAAGTGACATTCAACTTTTAATATACTTTCCAGAATAAAAAAAAACTTTCCGGACATTCACCTTTTAATATGTCCGGAATTGCTGGATATTTTATTTCAAACCGAACAAAACTACTTATTTCCCTTCTTGACGGATTGAAATACAAGAAATTCATCAAGAGTGAAATAAGTGCAAAAAAGGAACAGGAGCATAACCCCAAGTAAACGAAAAGAATAAGAAAAAATTAGAGAAAAAAATAAATAAAATGCAGCAAAATAACAAGATGAAAGAACAAGGGCGGCTTAGTGCAACCAAACTATAAAAATTTGAAACCCATTATGCAAAGTAGGCAGTCTCAGGATAGGTCAATCTAGATATCCAAAATAAGGATCCAGCATAAGTCTTCAATATCCAACATGTAAGAATAAAGCCAGCGTCATCTCATCCATCTTAAACTCCCAACTTTTTTTCTCTATTCTACAAGTTCTTTATTATTTAAGCCAGTATAAATGGGAGACAACTTTATTGCATTGCTAAGCAAAAGTAAATATGCAGAAAGACAAATAAGGGTAGTAAAAATGTGGGAACAAAGTGTATTTTTTCTATTCCGAATAAAAAACAAGAGTAACAAAGTAACTAAAGATTATTGACTAAGTGGCCTTACGATGTGTAATGTAATTTATGTCATTACATAATTCTTAGAAATAGTCAAAGATCTGTAACCTAAGTATAAACGACATTCTGAGCAATTTCTGTTGTTAGTTTNGAAGATTATTGACTAAGTGGCCTTACGATGTGTAATGTAATTTATGTCATTACATAATTCTTAGAAATACTCAAAGATCTGTAACCTAAGTATAAACGACATTCTGAGCAATTTCTGTTGTTAGTTTCTGAAGAGTTCACAAAATTGCATTACTAAACCATAAATTTGGTTCAGACATTCCAAATGTTTTGATCATTAGTTGACTAAGCCATAAAAGTCTATGGTAATCCAGAAAATGTAGAGACTAAAACTAAGCCATAAAAGTCTATGGTTGTCTAGAAAATGTAGAGACTAAAACTCTAACTCCAGTCCTTAAATTGCTCTTCTACCCACTAAAATGAAAGTTTCCAGACCACTGTTCAACAATCTTGCCATAGGATAAAAGTGAGCTTAGAAATCAACCACATTCCATTTTTTATACGAATAAATGAACCTCATTCTCTAATGACAGAGATTCAGAACCTCCTGTGGTTTGCTAAGTGTCCGATGAAAAGAACCATGAGAATAACTTTAGGCGTAGAAGTGCCAATAGTTAGTATCGGAACTCGCAATGCAATGGGATTGATTGACTAATTTGTTACAGACAATCTAGCAGGTCACCATTTTCTGGGAACAGAGATATCTTTGACCCTGTGCCTTCATATGTATATTCGTTTTTTAATAGGAAACAGGAAAATGTTACTTATACGAAATATAATAAATACATTTGAGGACAAGGAATCGTCCAAAGGAGAAATAGAAAAGCTATAGGGCTAACAAGAAACTAAAATACATCGTTGTATGCCTATGAATCAGTACACACTTGAGCCCAATGATAATTAATCAAAAAGAACGGAGTTCCTTCAAATTCTTTAGATGTGGAAGCCCGAAGAAGCCATGTAAGTGATTTTATCACATCTCTCTTCCCAATGAGTCTCCCAATCTTCAAAAATTTGGTGATTTCTTAACAACCACACCAACAAAAACAATGCTAAAACCACACATGGATTTCAAAGATCGAAAGACAATATTTAGGGCACACCCAGGGAAACTAAATACACCCAAAAGCGTATCCCACAAATTATTGACAAAGGAGCAATGCAAGTAAATGCGATCGATACCTTTTGCCACACACTTACGTAAATGCACCATTGGGGGTGAAGAGTAGGAAGGTCTTCTTTTTTGGATCAACTCATTAGTGTTGAGTTTATTAAGGGAGCCTTAGACTTCCATATCATAAATGGGGTTTGGAAGATTGGTCAACAAGGTTTATTAGTTAAGGACTCTTTTTGAGTTTTACAAGAATACTCCCTTGAGTAAGACAAGACCCACTTTCTTCGATCCAAAGAAGAAGGATTCAACACTATATTATGAAGAATACCCAAAAGCAAAGACAATTCAACAGCTTCTCTATCATTGAATTACATAAAGAAGTCAAAATTCCAACAACTTGGTAGTATTGGACTTAGAGAAGGCATCTTTTCTTATTCAAATCTTTCACCATTTTTTGGGAACAAAGATAGGTATTTGACCTCGTGCTTTTACAATTCGATTGGAATTATTGAACTCATTTCAAATCTTTAACTTCAGTTGATTTTCATAAGAAATGGGTTACTTTGAGATTAAAAGTTTGGGTTTACAAAATAAAAATATGAACTTTGAGTCATGACCTGAAGAAACAAATTGACTTGTTTCATTGTAAAAGATCCTTCTGTAGCTCTAAACACGGTGGGTCACCAAGTAGTGCATCAGATTCTACATCTAATCCATTTTGAGCTAGGTACCTCAGGTTTTCTCATGCAGAGCACATTTCATGTGGATGTTTTTATATGCAAACAACTAATATGCAAAGTTTTCAACAGCATTAAATTTTCACAATTGGAAAGCAGTTTGTAGCTCATAGTTTTTGCTTTATTGGCTTGTTTCTTGTTTTCTTTTGGTGGACTTCTTATCCACTAATTATGTACATTTATATCTTTCAATGAAATGAAAGTTTTGCTTCTTATCAAAAAAAAATCCCCTCAGTACCATATCACCCCAAAGCAGAAGGGTATGATGGGCCCCAAAGCAGAAGGGTATGATGGGGCCCCGGATATGTGGATACTGAGGGGATTTTAAAAAAAAACAACAAATATGCATATAGTTTTCAACTGCAGAAAATGTTTACACCTGCTTAGCAGCCTTAACCAGAGCGGCACTCATGAGCTTGGGTTGCTCAGCAACATTCTCTGCACCTTCTGTAGGATTAGCAGGAGGTTCTGGATAATCTGGAGAGAGTCGAACTGGAGGGGCATCCCTTTGTAGTGTCCCAAAGGTATTGAAGGCAAGAGCCGCAATTGTGTTAACTTGTTCTTGTAATTGGGAGATTATGTCCATTCACAGAGTCTAATTTTGCAGCAGAATTCTGAGACAAGGATATTAACCATATTTAACACACAATGAAGAGACATTAAATATTGGAAATAGTAACTAACACATTAACAAGGAACACAAAAAAATCTTTGAAATCAAATATGCATAAGGCTTCTTTTATGTGTACAAATATATACATCAAAATAGGGTAAATTGTATCAATGGTCCTTAAGTTTAACACTAGTTGAACTTTAGTCTTTAAAGTTTTAACTTTGTCAATTTAGTTCTCACATTTTAAACATTCAAACAATGTGACCCCCAACACTAACTACCGTCTGAATTGTTGACGGAGAAATGAAATGGGCCTAGCACATGCCCAATATTAAGGGTAATTTTCCACTAATCAACACTCCTTATATCAAATGCCATTTTTCCTCATTCACTAAACACAGTTCTTCTTCCAGCACTCTTTTCTTATTCTTCTCTCTCTCATACTCAGAACACAGTTCACTCACACACACACAGAAACACACTCAGAAGATGCACTCTATCTGCCCCTCTCTTTCCAATTCACAACCTTTCTGCACAACACACACCAAACCTAGCATCTCTCTTCGTTACTCTCCCTCTCTACAAACAAAACAGTCCGGCAAACAACCCCCCGCCAAACAACCAGGAGCCACCACCCACTGCCAAACAACTCCACACCACCACCTCACCGTAATCTTTTCAAAAAACACACACACACACACAAGCAATCCAATTCAACCAATTGCGATCACCACTTCCTAATCCAATTCATCCCAATCACAATCAATTTTTTGAGTAGAAATAAACATTAAATCAAAATCACACCACAAATAGAAATCAGGTATCACATTATAAAGCATAACTCCAATTGAAATCGAAATAACAATTGAAATCGAAAACCAAAATCAAAATCCAAGTAATGCATGATACGTCTAGGTGTGCTGAGAGAGAGAGAGAGAGAGAGAGGGCTTTAAGTGCCACAAACCAGGACGTTTGGTTTGACGGGTATTCAGTGGGGGGGAATGGTTCTCGATTGCTNGGCTTTAAGTGCCAGAAACCAGGACGTTTGGTTTGACGGGTATTCAGTGGGGGGGAATGGTTCTCGATTGCTGGAGTAGGCATAGGGATACACAGAAAAGCATAGTTATCAAAATTGGGCCGGACAATCTAGCCGACAAAAAGACTGGATCAATAGGGATAACTAGTTCAACCGTTGGGTCACCTGGTCGAACCGATCGTATAATAAAAATATAAAAATAATAATAACACATAATAATTAAGCTAAAAATATAATATAATACCATAATTTATACATATTGAGTCAAATAAAAACAAAAATATCAGACATGTTGACAATCACAACCACAAATAAAGCATAAATTAGAAAGTCACAATCATAATCAAACTGATAAAGCATAAATTTGCACAAAGCCATAAACAAATAAAACATAAATTACAAAAAGCTACAAATTGATAAAACATAAATTCGCACAAATTCATAATTGATAGAACATAAATTTGGACAGATAAATGATAATTGATAATGCATAAATATTTATGGTCATATGGGGCTAAGAATCAGAGTCGCAAACGATAAGGGAGAGATATAAACTATAGAGTGATGTGTGTGGGTCTAGAGTGGGCCGCTGAGGGCTTCTCAGTTCTGTGTGTGTGTGTGTGTGCGAGAGAGAGAGAGAGAGAGAGAGAGAGGGTGCGTGGCAGGGATCGTGACTGCGTCTGTGAGAGAAATCGACTGTGGCAGTGTCGCTTTGTGAATGTGTGAGAGATCGAGTGGGTGTGTGAAAGTAGAGACATCCATCCAGTGGGTGTGAGTGTGTGACGTTCGTGACTCGTGAGTGCATCTGAGAGAGAGAGGGGGGACTTACAGCAGCAGGAGAAGAGAGAGAACGTCTGTCTGCAATTCGAACTAAGAAGCGATCGATTCAGGGTTAAACTGCCCAAAAATTCGGATTTATATACCTCTCGAATTCGAACCGCCTGGTTCATTTGAATCGGACTGGTCACCGGTTAATGATTGAACCGGCTGACCTGGTCGGGTTTATTAGCTGAACCTCCCGGTCAGTTATGGTTTACCGGTTTAATGATTGACCCTCCCGGCCAGTCCGATTCTCCTGTCCTGTTTAATGTTGAACTTCCGGGTCCGATCTGATCTGGACCGGTTAATAGTTGAACGCCCGATCCGTTCCGGTTCACAGGCTTGATGACGAACCGTCGATCCAGTCCGGTTCTCCAATTTAATAATTGAAAACTTGAACTGGTCGCACCAATCGAAGGCAACCAGTCACCACAATCATCAACCTTCAGGGATCAAATACTTGAATTTTAGCATTAAAATGATGATACCCATTATAAAACTTGGAATCGATCAATCGACGACATAACAAAACCTAAAATAATGATTGAATATAGCTTGGCACCAACTTCTAACAGCGAATTGTATCACTGAGAAAAGGGTGAAAATTACAACCATGCTATCAAAAACACACTGCACTATTGTGAAAATCAGACTTACCCCTAAACCTCTCCCTTCAACCATCAGTTTCTCAACTCTACGACAAACCCATGAACCCCCTTCTAGCCAACATTTGTCTTTAACAAAACAATTATTGACTTCTCTACTACAATCTCACTCCTCACACCCAGACCAGCTCAAACAAATTCATGCACTTATCCTCACAACAGGCCTCTCCATCAAGAACAGCTTGGTCACTCACCTCCTCACATCTCTCACTGTCTTGGGTGACATGCCATATGCTCGCCAATTGTTCGATGAATTGCACAAGCCGAGACCTTTTATATGGAACACTGTCATCAAAGGCTACGTCAAGAATGGAATTCACACTGAAGCTGCCTTAATCTATAGACAAATGCATATGCTTTATGTTAAACCAGACCCTTTTACATACCCTTTTGTGATCAAGGCATGTGCTGAACTGAATTATTCATGCGTTGGTCTGGCAGTTCATGTGCAGCTTTTGAAACATGGATTAGAATTTGTAGCTATGGTGAGGACTGAGTTGATGGTGATGTATGTGAAGTTTGGTGATCTGGGTTCTGCTGATTACTTGTTTCAGAGCATGGTTGAGAAAGATTTAGTGGCTTGGAATGCTTTGATAGCGGCTTATGCACAAAATGGGCATGATGTTAATGCTCTCGGGCTGCTTCGCCAAATGGCTGTCAGTGGAATCAGACCTGATGCTGTGACTGTCGTGAGTGCACTTTCAGCTTGTTCTCATTTGGGGTGCCCGGACACTGGGGAGGAAATTTATGAGGTTGCAAGAAGAGAAGGGATTGATAGCAATATAATTGTTGACAATGCACGGCTTGACATGCATGTGAAATGTGGAAGTATTGAAATGGCGTGGAATCTCTTCGATAACATGCCTTTTAGGAACGTTATCTCTTGGAGTGCTATGATTGGAGGGTATGCTATGAACGGGCAGAGTGAGAAGGCATTGTCATTGTTCTCTAGGATGCAAAATGACGGGGTGCGGCCAAATTATGTCACATTTCTTGGTGTTCTATCTGCGTGCAGCCATGCTGGGCGTGTAAGGGAAGGATTGAATTATTTCAATTACATGGTTCAGTCCAATGACAAAAGAATGAAACCTAGAAAAGAACATTATGCTTGTATGGTGGATCTTCTTGGCCGTTCAGGGCATCTTGAACAGGCTTATAATCTTGTAAAGAGCATGCCTACTCAGCCAGATGCAGGAGTGTGGGGAGCTTTGTTAGGTGCTTGTGCAATTCATCATGATGTTGAATTGGGCCAGCACGTGGCAGATTTGCTCTTTGAGTTAGCCCCTGATATTGGTTCCTATCATGTTTTGTTGTCGAACACGTATGCAGCTGCAGGGAGGTGGGATTGTGTTGAAAAGGTTAGGCGGAAAATGAGAANTGAATTGGGCCAGCACGTGGCAGATTTGCTCTTTGAGTTAGCCCCTGATATTGGTTCCTATCATGTTTTGTTGTCGAACGCGTATGCAGCTGCAGGGAGGTGGGATTGTGTTGAAAAGGTTAGGCGGAAAATGAGAAAGAAAGGTGTGAAGAAAGTGGCTGCATATAGCTCAATTGAATTTAATGGTCAGGTTCATGTTTTATATGGGGGAGACAGATCGCACCCACAGGCAGAGAGAATATATAAGAAGCTAGAGGAACTAATCAAACAAATGAAGAGCATGGGCTACAATCCAAGGACTGGCTCTGTGTTACATGATGTGGACATTGAGGAAAAGGAAGCTACACTTAGCAGTCACGGTGAAAAACTTGCAATTGCATTTGGTCTAATCAATGTAAGACCTGAAGTCCCCATTAGAATAATTAAGAACTTGAGAATTTGTGATGATTGCCATACTTTCTCGAAATTTGCCTCTGAACTTACCATGAGACACATCGTCATGCGAGATAAGAGCCGTTTTCACCATTTTAAAGATGGTATTTGCTCGTGCAATGACTTTTGGTGATCATGAGGCAGGAAGACTACTTGAAAAGAAGACACAATGAAGCTGACTTGGTTTTTGTTCGTCTCTCACCTTCAGGAAGTCATTGATAGGAACTACATGTGACTATGTGATGGATGAAAAGAACATTTTTCTTTCTGCTTCTTGATTTCTTCACATGCTTGAGGGCATCCTTTGCATATCGATCAAGGAATTTGCTTTCTTAGTAGGCGCATGAACCAACAAAGACTCTGAAGTGGGAAGCAACTGGTCTTGGAGAAAATGCAGTATATGTAGCAGTACTTTCTTTTCCCAGGTAGCGGATGGTAAGATAAAAGTATTTTTTTGGGGCTGAATTTGAAATAGGTTCAGTAGANTAGACTCTGAAGTGGGAAGCAACTGGTCTTGGAGAAAATGCAGTATATGTAGCAGTACTTTCTTTTCCCAGGTGGCGGATGGTAAGATAAAAGTATTTTTTTGGGGCTGAATTTGAAATAGGTTCAGTAGATACAACAAAAGAGTTCCCGAGTTTGTTTTCCCTTAACTGATTAAAAACCTAACTCTTTCAATGGGGAAGCTCTTCCAAAGTCTAAAGTACGAAGAAAAGGAAGCCCTTGATCCTAGAAGAGTAAGCAGATGCGCCTATGGCGGGAAAGATAGTTCTCGCTATTCGCAACTTTGTCTCTCAACAGAGGCCAAATTGTCGTAATCGTAAACATGGCAATAGTGGGGTTGGACTTCCCCTGCATACTATCCGTACAGGATAGCTCAGAACCGGAGCATGTTTGTGGCTCAAGGAATCCTTCCAAGGCCTACATAAAGAAGAGATTGCTATATTCTGACTGAAGGTGAAACATAGAGTTGTTTTGAATTAAAATGGACATCATTGGGGTTCTATACCCCAAGCAATTATCCCTCTGGAAAACATGGGTGGCAAGCTTATTGTATCATCTCTTAGAGAGGAAAACCAGCTAATGTCCACAATCAGGTTTGGAGATTAAGGTGTCAACCATATATCTCTCAACTGGAGTGAAGAAACTGATCTGGAATTTTTGCCACCGTGTGTGGGTGATTGGCTCTCTAACCTGTCCGCAAATTTGTTTTACAGACTACATTTGTGCATTCTTTTTCTTTCCTCATTCGAAGTTCGCAATGACAAATGGAAAGTGCCATTTACCTTATGCTTAGAGGTTCTAGTGTCATTCACTTCATTTCTCTTAATAAGAGATTACTTGCTGCTGCTGTGTTTGACTCCTGCCAAATAAGAATCTTAATTTCAGATAAAATACCAAGAAGACAGACATTCTTGGATTGAACAGGTCATTTATTAGTGTCTTTCTCTTATAAAGAGACACTTCTTTATAAAAGTGGAAAATAGTCATCCCAGTTGACAGTAGTATTCAATTGCGCACTAGACTTAGAATAAGTGGTTATGCTCTTATTAATTATAAATTACTAGACTAAACTTGTTTATTTTGGCCAATGGCCAAAAGTATGAATGCCTCCTACTCAGTTTGATTATCAAATTGAAGCAGACTCTCAGTCTTTCTGATTATATAGCTTCAAGTTCTGAATGCTTCTTTGATTAAGAACATTAATCCTAGAAAACTTACGTCAATAATAAACACTTTTTTTTCTTTTCGCTCTTGAAAACAATGATTTCATAAAGGTTTTCAAGAATTCATCATGTGTTTTTACAACCTTGACTCTATATTATTGAATCCCCGATGTGGTTCAATTTGATGTTCGATTAATGAGGCTAATTGACTTGTGGGTTAGGGCTTTGTTCTTTTCTGCTTTGTCGACTTTCTTAAATATTTTTATTCTTGTTTCCATTGATTTCCCTGTTTATAATGACACTTCGGTGAGTTAACGTTTCACGTGGCCTCAATCTTGGCTGGCACTATTGCAGGATAACATTCTATGACCTAACGAGAAAAATTATTCATAGTTGGAGAATCCAGCCGCTAAGGCTTACCATAGATTTTTTTTTGACCAGAAGTATAATACAGATTGTTTTAGTGTGCTGTGATTAAGTTATATATTTCATTCATTTGAAGACTCCAAATGAGAACTGGAAGCTAATGATTGTGTGGATCTTATAGAGCCCCTGAGGATCTAGATGCCACATTTATTCTTCTTCTACATTCACCAGGTTAATGGTGTGTTACTTTAGCATGTAGTTCAGTTAATTCAATGAGGACAGGGTAGATGGTATTTCAAGTTTTGTTCCCCAAACTTGAAATTGAAGCTGCATCTCATCTACAAACTTTATTATCATAGCTTCTTTGATTGTTGAGAAATGCTTTTGAAGTTCCATTTCTCCATGTTTTCCATGATTGCTCCTTTAATTTGTACATATATGCCATGCTCGTCAAGCCACAGGTTTGAACTTACTTTTGGTGTCTAACATATGAGTCCCAACCTGAAAATTTGCTCTTTTCTATTGCATTTTCTGTTCATGCTGATTTATTATTCTTACTTTCTTTTGGTGGCCATGCTAAGTGTGTGATTGAAATTTTAACTTTCAATATTGTGACCGACGGTTCTTAGCATAAGACTATTAAAACATCTCCAATTCATGAGAAATAGAGCCTTAGCAAATTGAAAGCCTAGACTCATAGGTGCCTTCTATCTGTTACTTTTCTTGTCATTAGTGGAAGATATCTAGCCTGCTCCATCTCCATTGAATTTACTATGACATTCCACCATTTTTTTGGCCTTGAAAACAAATTTTTGTAATGAAGTAGACTATGCATTTATCACGAGCAAGCCTCTTGCTTCCTGAAGGCAAAAGATGAGTTACTTAAAAGAAAGCCATAATTGCAGGCGGTGGGAAAAAGCATTATTGCCTCTCTGGGAAAACTTCACTTTCTTGAAAACCTCTCTTTCTTTGCTATATAGTTCTCCCTGTTCTTTGGGTCAATCTTTGTAATTTGATCCCTGAAACTTACCAGAGAAGGCACTAAACAACAGTGGATCTCAACTTGATGAAGCTAGCTTTAAAATTGAAGTCCTCTCTCAATCTATTTTATTAGCTTTAGTTGCTCTATGAACTCACTTTTTAATTGGCGTTAAGAAGAAACACCAACTTACATTTTTGTTCACAGTATGTTCTCATCCATGGAAAAAAGCTGTGATACCTTACTCATCTCTCTCTCTCTCTCTCTCTCTCTCTCTCTTTCACACACACACACATATGCACACATATTTTGAGTGTGGAAAGTAGATTACCATTCTTTAACCTTCTACTGCCTAAATTTATCATATGGTTTTGTTGATTCAAAATAACCAAGACCCTAGTCCCTAAATCAGTCAGGCTTCTCTTCTCCATAACAATTCCCTCATGGACTAGCCCAGAGTTTGGATTGTCTAGTCACATAACCTAAATTATCAACAATGAATGACTGTATCTGCCACATCTTCTTGGAGTGATGAGACTTTCAATAGTGTTATACAATGTCCACACCTGTCTGAGCTTGGTTTCGGAAAGGATCAGACTTCCCCTACTGTCAACTTGGTAGCAATAAGGTTTCTCTTCCCTGAAGTGCCTTTGGAAATGTATTCTATGGTACAAAGATTAAACACATGCACAAATATATACCTTTTCAATATTTATTTTTGTTAACTCTAGCCTGCCTAAATACGATCATTTTTTTATAAGCCAAAACACTTGTTTTCACTCTCTTCCAATGCAAAACTATACGCATCAAAGTCCTTTGAAAATGCTGCCTAAATATGCGAGGAACATCAGTTTCTACTATCTTTCATACATGAGAACCAGCATCTGCTTGGAGTGACTTCTAAAGGGCACTTGCCTTCAGTAGGCACATACTGCCTTATCAGCTCTTATTCACTTAATCCCTGTTTCACCTCCTTGCATTTCCAATCCACTTGTGCTCAAATTAAAATCCTTTGTTGTTTAAAGGATAATTTTCATTTTTTACTAGAACACCGATGATCAATTGGTTGAAAGTCAGGACTTGGAGTAATAAAAGGATCCGTCCAAGTGCTGCGTGCAGATTTGAGTTTCAGATTCACCCTCTTCAAAATGACGATAAGACTGTTTACCACTTAACTTTCCCGAACCACACTATATGTGGGAGCCTAGTGCACTGGAGATGAACTTTTACAAACTCTTGTGGACCACATGACATAATTCAATTTCTTGCATACATACGGTTCTCTTAAATATAATTCAAACACCTTGATTTTTCATTTTTTACACTGATTCATAGTGAATCTAATTCACCCCCGAATCACAATGGTTGAAGTTGAATAGCAAGAAACTGCCTATTTAGCACTTAGCATTACTATACTACTTAAATTATCCTCTCCTTCTCCGAAAAAATGTAAATGCAAATGCAAATGGTCCTCTTGCAACACATCAAAAATCAATGCATTGAGGTCCCTGTTTATCAAACTTTTTTTTTATTCAAATTATTCACTGCACAAACATTCCCATTGATGATCAAATTCTGCAAATGAAAACACCAATTAAAGGATGGTCCTTGAAATTCAATCATTATAAAAACCAACTACCATGAGATAGCATGTCATCAAGCAGGATGAAGATGACCTGCATTGATTAACATTAATAGGACCGTGTTTGAGTGGTTGATATTGTGATAAATTTAGCCTTACAAAACCAGCCTGTGAACCAGCATGGGGCCTTTTGTTGATTGATCATAGCTTCCCAACTTGTGATTGAAATGTCTATCATAATGCCTTGAAGATATTGAAGATGCCCAGAAAAAGCATATATAGAAGCAAGCTAGCCAGCAAAGATGGCAATGACTTGGGTGGGTGAAAGCAATAAACAATGGTTTTATTGAGAGAGAGAGAGAGAGAGAGAGAGGGAGGGAGAAAGATGAGGTAGTTGCACTCTCATCACACCCCTCTTTAAATCACTCATTTATTTACACTACAATAGCTCCAAACAAACATTCATTTCATGGGGAAAAACTATCTTCATGCCACAAAATTAGAGCCATCCATCATATTTGTTCTCTCACTCCAAGAATCTTTTGAACTATGCAAAATTTTTGGTTCAAGAAATAGATCCCTCTTCCCCAACCATTTATGGGTTCTTTTTAGTTTTTAGTGTGTTGGTTTAAAAAAAAATAAATAAATCAGCTCCATGCTCCCAACAAAGTTTATATTACTTCTTTCTAGATCTCACCTTGAGAACATGGACTTTTTGTCCAGCAGAAAAAGGTGGCATTGGTACAACCATTAGGGATATATAAATGTATAGAGAGGATGCTTCTTGCTACAAATGGCACTTTGCTCCCCCTCAAAGCTTAATAGTCTCGACGTGACACTAGACTATTAGAGATTTATCCCTTGTGAATATTCTAGTCTCGGCATGGATAGTCTGTTTTTGACCGAATTGGAGAGGAGATTAGTTGAAGTACGCGTAAACTAGCTCAGACATCTTTAACTGTTGAACTAAAAAAAAAAAATAGTCTCCCACTATAATTGGAAATTTTTTAAAATGGTAGTAATGTGCCATAATAACAACAAACAATTTGTTTTCTATGTGTGGCAGTGTTTAGTGAAGAGATGAACACACAAATGGGGTGTTGTTTTTGAGGCAAATTGTTTCCATTTGCAGAAATTTCTGGTGCAATGTGAGATTTTTCAATTTTTGAGGGATAAGTTGAAAATTTTAAAACCGTTGAAACTAGGATTTTTTACCAAACGTTTTTCTTTCTTTAGGCAACATGCAAAAGTTGCATAAACAAATGATTGAGGTGCTCATCATGAATTTCATAATTTGGGCACCACCCTCTAGAACAAGGACAGTGCATTACATGCCCATCAACCGTGACACTAATTCAAAG